TCTTGACAAATTAGGGAAGTTATTTTTGGGGACGTTATTTCATTGAATTCAAAGCTTGTAAAACAGTAACGTTTATTTTTGTCCTTAGTCTATTGTGTTCTATTTTCTACTCTAATCCCAAGCTTTGGACATAATTGTATTTTCTAATTATTGTACGTTGTGGTCGCGTTAGTCATCTATTTATTCATGTATGTTTTTACACTGATCTGAAATCGGGAACCAGATCGGAATCGGGAACGAATCGAGTAGTGTTCTAGTCGACTTGTTTTCTCTTACTCACGTGCTTGTCAGCCAATCAGGTGATAGAATGGTTTTCGTCTCTCTACCCCAAGCAGTTGGTGTCAACTTCGAACTCACATATACTAACCTCAAGTTTTAACCAGTCAGCCTATCACGCCAAGGTCTTAATCTAGATTTAGAGAAGTTATCCTCTGCATAGAAGTGGGTAGACAGATCAAGGACGTAACACAAATCCATATCAATCTCCTTTGATCCTGTTTTTATTTTGGTGACTGGTTTTCATCAGTAAAGTTATCTAAGCTCAAAGAGTTTCTGCATTAATAAAACCCATCAACAGATATAGCTGCTTAAAAAATAGATATACAACTATCATTATCTATTTATCCCATTTGTAATCCAAGTATCTTTTAAAAAATTGTTTGTTACTAAAGTGATTTCCATGAATGTTCAAGTTGAAGATACTAAGAAGAAAATAGTGTTGAATAAGTTTTATATTCTCAAATATATTCTGTACTTGAACGAGTAAGTGTTTCGCTAATCATAGGATTCGTATGTTAATCTAATTTCAAACTTTGTAAACATTATGTAATGTCCAGGAATTTAATCATAAGGTGACTGAACGTTAATACTAATTTTTAAGCTTAGTGCTAAACAATTATAAACAAAGATGAATAGTGGCTACAAGTGGAATCCAGGATGTCCGTTTCGTCCTATTCGGAACTCGTCAGCTGGATGTACCTTCATCTCAGAGTTGATGTTTACTCCGAGACTCGAACCCAGTACCGCTCACTTCAAGCATCAATGGGAAGATTCAAGTAAATGATACTAAGTGAATCTAGTGCTAAACTTTTAAAATCACTCGTTATCGTCAACACTATCTCAATTTAACAAAGGATTACAATTTAAGCAAAGTTTCTTTAAACTATAAGAGGTAACGAATATGGGTTACGTAATAATTTAATGTACATTTAATAGATTCTATGTACATAATAGATTCCGGCATTTTACAATGTAAACATGTATATTTCCCTTTTAGAAATTTAGTCATGTTTTAACATATTTAAAACATTTAATCCTTACATATGTTTGTTCAAACATAATTGCTACAAATTTCTTACTAATGAATTAGTTATTTATATGAAATATACGATATTCTTCGAATAAATACTATTTACAACAGCTAGAAATCCAGGATAACTCCGGCTGTAGCTCTTCCAGAGTTACTGCCGGTCTCAAGCCCGGGTAATGTAGGAGGGTTGGGTATAGGGTTAGCGATCCCATCCTGTAGAAAACCAACTCGCTAAAAAAATGCCAACCAGAAAATAAATAATGCTTCTGCACGAGGAGTAACAGGCATTAGTAAGTAACGAAGATATCTAGGATGATCTTGTAGTGCTCACTCACGAAGACACCTAGGAATGAAACTGTTTTGTCACCTTTATGCCATTGAGTCAGAAACTAAGGGGTTACATTTTCGACTTCACGCAGTTAGTTATATGATGTGGTAACCTAGTGGTTAGAGGTAGTCAACAGGAAACCCTGTACCCGGGATTGGTGCTATTTGGCACACTTCAGTAAGGTGTGCCTGTCATCTTGAGGTAACTGTTGCTCCATGATGGATTCGATTTCGTGTCATCATCCAATGTTATCAATGATATCTGTCTCATTTCAAAGAATACTGAATTTCATCCTTCACTATAAGCCGGAAAACATATCACTAAGTTAATCACCAGTGGGTGTGATACTTAACTGAAGTAGAAGTCATAAATTTATATTGTTCTAAATGACACTGACAACACTTCCATTAAAGCAACTAGCTTTGAGAGTTCAGTACTACAATAATGGTAAAATTTCTAACCTTTTTTATGCCTAAACACTTTAACAGTCATCTCAGTGTATCTGAACACTTATTCTGTATATGGGATTCAATAAACCAAAAAGAATAAACCTTCAACTGGAACTCAAAACAACTGTCAACCAATATCAAAGTGAGAATCTTCAATACCAACGTCAAGGCAGTTTTACTGTATGGAGCTGAAACTTGGAGAACTACAACAACCACCATCAAGAAGGTACAAGTACTTATAAATAGTTGTCTTCTCAAGATACTCAACATCCATTTGCCGGATACCATCAGCAACAGCCTTTTGTGCGAGAGAACAAACCAGCTTCCTACTGAAGAAGAAATTAGGAAAAGATGATGGAAATGGATAGGACATACATTACGCAAATCGTCAAACTGCATCGCGAGGCAAGCCCTAACTTGGAATCCTGAAAGGTAGCGGAAAAGAAGAAGGCCAAAGAACACATTACGTTGGGAAATAGAAGCAGATATGGAAAGGATGAATAACAACTGGAAGGAGCTGGAAAGGATTGCCCAGGAAAGGGTTGGATGGCGAATGCTAGTGAGCGGCCTATGCTCCTTCACGTGGAGTAACAGCCGTAAATAAGTAAGTACTATTGTTATAAAGCTTTTCCTTCTGAATTTCTGAGATAATGTTTATTCTCATTTGAATTCAACCAATCTGGCTAAGTTTATATCCTATTCGTTTATGTATCATTCACTTTACAAATAACTTTATATCATATATGTTCAATGAGTTCACGATAATAGGCTTCAATTGAATGGCATAATTCAAAATTGAAATCCATTTTGATTACATGAAGTATGGATTATTCATTACAGCATTGCTAATAACATTTTGCATTCAATTAGTATACATTATTATGTTGAATTTAACTAATGTACTACTTACTATAAATAAGTAATAGGACTCATGTAAGTTAAAACAAACAGAACAACTGTTACTATCTTAAATATGCATTTTCTTTGTTTAAGCATATTAGGCAACCATTATTACTATCCCATCAGTCAGTCAGTCATTCAGCTACAACGTAGGATCAAGCACATAAGTTGTCATACCTCATTATTGTACCATAGTTCTAAACTTATAAATGAAAGGAAAGTTTTAATCACAGTTATTTAAAATCGATAATATACTGCGACCGGAAATGATAACGAAAACAGAACAACAATAATCAAAGAGTAGAACACCCTTAAAATATGAATTGAGAATTTTTTTTAAAAATATCCGAGTCAATAATTCGATCATATACTTTAAAGCTAATGCACTCAACATAAAGATGTTTAGAGCGTTTTTTTAGTTGTCTAGACGTCAAAACATTTCTAACACTATACATTGTTCATAATTGTTCAAAAATAGAATACTGTGTATAAACAGCTAGCTTTTCTTATATGAGATGTTATGATTTAGTTTGAAAAGTTCGAAAAAACACAAGCAATGAACGAATTTCAGGTTTTACGATGTAACGATATAAGATCTGGTAAGTCTTGCAAATTGACTGCTATATTCGTTTCCTAAGCTATTCTGTAACCCCCAAGCCAGAACTATTCAGTGACCTGAACAACGAGAGAGAAGACGCAAAGTATGCGAGAAAAACTTTACTCCAAGGTTCATTTCAATACAGAAAATATAGGGTTTTCATAAAATTTCAAATGTCCTTCGGTTGCTCGATGATTCTGGGATGCTACTAAACATAGTAGCATTATAGCAATCATCCAATCGGAACCTCTACATATGAAGTTTCACTTCCTTGATATTTTTGGCTAAAACTTCAGCTGAACGCTGATTGAGTGAAACGCTTCTTAGTGTTTTTGTTGATCCTTGCTTGTCTTTTGCAAGAGATTTTTTGGATCACCCCAGCAAGATCAACTGAAGTAAATTAGTTGACCACATATGAAAAAACCTAAGGTGTTTTAGTTCCAGATTTCCAATTATTTAAGAATGTTTACGGATCTGACATACTTTCATCTTGATTGATTTCTAGGAACTTGATTTTACGAGGGCATGAAATATGCTTATCAACCCGGTTAACTCATAACCTCTCCAAAGAATGTCATCAACGAGTAAGATACTGTCCCTCAATCCGTAGTAACTATTCCTACCTCAAATATATTCAAAAGAATGGGTTAGCTAATAAATACCGAATCCTATGACTAATACACGCATTTTGTATTCAATTTTTGAAACTGAACCATAGATAAGTAGTATAGGCAGGGTCCAAACGAAATATTCTGATAATGTTCCAACCTAAAATTGGGAAACAGAAACCTGATAATCTTAAAAAAAAACCATTAACACATTATTATTATGTATCAATGATTACTGTTTAGTTCGAATATACCTTTTTCACAAGTATTTAGCTAATGTATCTCGTGAAGAAAGTCTTCAAACAACTTTAAAGCCATTTGTTCAAGCATAGATACATATAACGAGTAGTATAAGACAAATGTAAATTGTAATCACAATTGATTGATCACTGGGTGGTAATCAATATCATGTGTGTCAAGTCCCTCGTAGTGCAGATCGAATCCCATCGACCAAGTTGCAATGTGGCCACTAGTCTAGGTGACTCGACATTGCGTGCACTATGTTGAGATAAGATGGTAGTTGGAGGTAGTCGATAGGAAACCCTGGACACGGGTCTCGTGCTACTTGGCACTCGTCAGCAAGGTGTACCTGTAATCTTGAAGGAACTAGTGCTCTCTGACGGATTCGATCCCGTGTCACCCAGCTTCACAGTTAATAGTTGAATTCATGCATCAGTTGAAGCTAGACTACTATAGCAAACCTGAAAGCACTGAACGTCCGTTCAGGTTTTCTATGACTCATGAATTCAACCATTCAATTACTATAATATCCACAAAACTCCTCTCTGATTGTAAATTGTTAAGTAAGTAACAAAAGAATTAAGTATATTCTAAACATGAAACTCAAGAAGGTTTAATAATCAAAATGTAATCATCATCATCATTTTCACATTTCCTTTAGAAACAAACAACAACTTTTAAACAGTTCACTCTTATGCAAGTAGTTTCTCAGCTACCTGACGTTCAATAAATGTTGGTGGTTTATTAACAAGTTTTACTTCAGATTTATGTGATTCCATTTCATTTGGATTAAAATCTTTTTCAGGTTGTTTACGATCCATACGTTGATGACGTAAATTTAAACAATCATTCTCTATTTGAAGACTTTCCTCTTTTAATGTAATATCATCATTAATACGATTTAATTGTTTATGTAAAGCATTTAGCGCATGTCTGAAATAACAATGACAAAGAATAATAAAAAAATATTTGTCTACTAAACGAAAACGACTGATTATAATTCACATTTCGTCCTAATTGAGACTCGTCAGCCGAATATACCTCCATTTCAGAGTTGATGTTTACTCTGGGACTCTGACTCAGTACCAATCGCTTCAAACGCTATGGCGTTATCCACTTATCTACTGAGTCCTGATAGCTACCTACTTGTGCAATAGGGTGAATTTTTAAATTCACTTGGTGTTGTTTACTTGTATCTTACCATAATTTTTAAGGACTGCAACTGATCACTCTAGTTGGCATATGTGCATATTGTGTGTATTGCAAGCATTATAAGCGAACGGCACTGGGATTGAGTCCCATAGTGAACATTAATTTTATGATGCAGGTACATCCAGCTGACGAGTCCCAAATAGAATGAACTGCGTATTCTGGATTCCATTTGTAGCCACTATTCATTTTTGCTTATAATACTTGTGAATTAAAGCAATTATGAGGCAATAAGCACAGTATGCACATATGCCAATATGCACATATGCAGTCCTAAATAACAATGGAAAGATACAAGTAAACAACATTACATATCATTGTTGATGTTCACTATGGAACTCGAAGCCAGTACTTATCATTTCAAGCACTACCATATTCAGTAAAAATAATAAGTAACTATTGTATTTATTATTATTCTTAAGGACTTTGCTCTCTCCATATTTCGTATTTAGAAACTATAAGAATTCAGTTACAATGGTAAAATATGTATTATGCAATCAAATACAGATAGATATCAAATATTCTTGATTGACTCGCACTACATCTTAATCGGTGAATAAATGTTTGTTTTTATCTAACACAAATTCAAACGGCATATTAACAATTAAAGATACTCATGTGATACCAAATAGCTTCATCGATTTGGAAAATGTATAACTAAAGTAGGTCCTTTGAGTAGTTTGTTATTCTCTGAGTTTGACGGTTTAATTTCAAACCTACTTATTGTAGTCAATTAGTGCTGCATTTCAATAGAAGGCTACTAAACACAGCAAATATGAAATGAAACCAGAAACATAGTAACGATATAGTTAGTTACTAATTGATGGGTTAAATTTAGCTAATATTCTCTGTTGAATATAACCGTTATCAATAAAGAAGAATTCAGTCTATCTACATAAATCATTCTACAAAGTCAAATTATTAAAATCTAGAAACGAGCTAAAACTAATGAATTATAGAAACATTGAGAGAAGTTTATATAGTATAAATGAATATTTAATACTCTTTCTATTACCTTGCTTGACGTTGTTTCTCTAATAAGGCTTCATTTGTCAATTCAATTTGTCTTACTTCATCAGTTAAACCATATTGAACAGAATCACGACATAATTCAACACCTGGACGATATGTTCGTCTTTCAAGTCTTGTTTGTGCAAGTTTTCCCATTGGTATTAAACCTTGAATAGCTTTCTCAAGTTGATCTAAATCGTTTTCCATTTCAGCCATTTCGTCTTCAATCTTTCAATGATATAAATAGAATTATGACTAAAAGAAAGCTAAATTTATGTTTAACGTATATTCATAGCACTAGGGACAATTAACCTACCAGCCATGTGATTACTCAGTCAATCAGTGTCAATCCTGGCACATTTGTACAATGGTTCAATTTGCCATTCTGCTGACCTCAGATGCTACCTTGACGTGGTGGTCGGGTTTGCTTATCGTGATAACCCAACCGAGCCATATTGGCTGGAACATATGTCCCTGTAGGTTCTACCATGCTAGACAGGTCTATTGGAGAACGGTAAGACCAAAAGCAGCAACTCTAGGTCTGAGGGCAAAAACATACTGTCGTAGTGCTGACTGTGGAGGGGTGTGACGGCAGTAAGGTGTTTCCCTTGGGCACCCAGCATCTGTGGCGATGCTACCTTTTCACAAGGAAGGACAGGGTTAGAAAAGGTCGGCCCTAAAAATGTCGCACCTCACCTTACCTCACAGAATTCCGTCTACGGTAGTAAGGCCTTTTGAAAAACGGACCTAACAGGTCGAAAACTTCCCACAAAAATGCCGTGGGCGACCGGCCTCAAGCAGTTGTCCCTTGGGCTCTGCAGTCACGCTCCCACGTTGTTAAGACCAACATTAATCCAAATTCCTTTTTCAGGTTCCTCAAGAAATACACTACCATCGTGTGGGCAGCCGGGTAGTGAAATCAGCCTTCATACCCGTAACAGCACACGAGAACAAGTTGGTCTCACTCAAATCCTTCCTACACATCCTAATACCACTCTTATCTCCCCGGCTAACCCTTCTCATATCCTTTTATCACCTCGCACCGCTAGGGCAAACGATTCGAGTACGCGGAACGTTATTCCTGGTCTTACAGAAACCACGTTCTAAAATACATGTAGGAACTCTTGACGTCCGAACATTAAGCCAAACAGGACAACAGGCTTCATTAGCTAAGACTTTAGAATCTCGCGCCATCGATGTGTGCTGCGTCTCCGAAACGCGCATACAGGATTCGAGTAGCGTCATTCATTTGACATCACCATGTCAAAACAAAAAACCAACTCGATTCACACTTCGTGTATCTGCAAGCCCAGATGCTGCGTTTGGTGGACTCGCCGGCGTAGGTATAGCATTGTGTCCTAGGGCAGAACTAGCTCTCTTAGACTGGATTCCAGTAGACAGTCGTTTGTGCGCTGTCCGACTAAACGGAACAATAAGGACTCGGAAAGATAGGAACACTCGTCGTTGCCTCTTCGTCGTCTCCGCCTATTCTCCCACTGACCGCAGCTCAGATGATGTAAAAGATGAGTTTTACAGAAAGCTTTCCGATCTTCCCCGAAAAGCTAGGTGCTCTGATGTAGTAGTAGTAGTAGTGATTAGTGACTTTTATTCTCAAGTAGGTAAACTAAGCGAAATGGAAAGACACCTAGGTGAATCTTATGGTGTCGTGGCTCAAAGGACAGATAACGGCAACCATCTGTTGAGCTATGCTCAGATAACCGCCTGTTTCTTGCAAATAATAGCTTTAAGCATAAGGAAAAGCATCTTTTGACGTGGCGACCCTCTAATTCGTCCCAACGCTGGACTCGAATAGATCACGTCGCTATCAGCCACCGATGGAGGGGCTCGATAGAAGACTGTCGCTCATCCTGGAGCACATGCTTATATTCAGATCATGTTCTAGTGCGAGCGCGTATTTGTCTGCGTCTTACTGGACGTAGAAAAGACTCGGCACGGAAGCTTCTTAGGGTCCTACTTAATGATGGCCAAGCTAAGAATATATTTCAGGAACAACTAGGAAAACAGTTAGGCAGCCATGTATGTGATGCCCACCCCGATGCAGCATGGAATGATACCCGAAAAGCTGTGGAAACAGCAGTGATATCTGCTAGTAAGGTAAACCACAAGGTTAGGGAGAAACACTGGGACTCAGCAGCATCTACCGCACTGATAGATGCTCGGAAACTCATTCCACCTGGCTCTGAACATAATGAAGAGCGGAGTCAGCTTAAGCGCAAGCTGACCAGAAGCCTACGCAATGATCGTGAACAGTGGTGGGTAGCGAAAGCAAGAGAGATGGAAAAAGCAGCTGCAATAGGTAACAGCGGACAGCTGTTCAGATTTGTTAAGGAAACCGACTGTAAGCGAAACACTCTCAGAGAAAGATGGGCATATTATACATCGATGGGCAGAACACTTTAGGGATCAGCTCAACTGGCCTTCAGCCACACTTAGGTTTCCCACGATCTCTAGTTAACCCGAATGGCAAGTTAATTTAGGTCCATCGACGTTTTACAAAGTTGAAAAAGCTATAGCAAATCTGAAGCATAGGAGAGCAACAGACCCTGACAGGTTTACTCCTGAAATTTTTAAGGATGGTGGTCCAGTATTAGTAGTGAGATTGATTGAGGTCTTAGGTAGAATTTGGGAACTGGACGTAATCCCATCTGACTGGTCTCAATCACTGATTGTGCCAGTCTATAAGAAAGGAAAAAAGCCCTCTTGTGACAATCACAGAGGAATCAGTTTGACTAATGTAGTGTCTAACGTATTAGCTTCAATAATACTTCGACGCCTAACTAAAGCTCTTGAAGGGCAGACTAGAGAAAACTAGGCTGATTTTCAACCTGGATGTGGCTGTATAGACCAGACATTAACATTGCGTCAGTTCCTAGAAAGTAGACATACATTCAGACCCTTTCTATAAGCAACGTCGCAAGCATATTCGGCATGCGATTCTCCCCCTCGAAATGCAAAAATTTACTTCAGGATTGAGTGGGTCACCCGAACTAATGATAGGGATTGAAGCAGTTGAGCGTGTCGGCCGCTTCACTTATCTTGGAAGTCTCATCGGCCCTTTTGGTCTGGTGTGTGACGAAATCTCAGCACGGATACAGAAGGTTCGACTAGCTTTTTCCAACTTGCGTCATTTATGGTGTAGGCGAGATATCCGTCTATCAAACAAAGGATGGGTTTACTGCGTAGCAGTTCGTTCCGTCCTACTTTATGGCAGTGAAACATGGCCGGTAAGAGTGGAGGATATTCGTAGGTTGGAATCCGCGAGACGATAGCAACCGATGGTTAGAGACCTTGAATGACGTGGCTCAAAATCGTTTGCAATGGCGTAGGTGCATCCACTCTTTTTGTTCTCCCAAATTCTAATCTTTTGAATTCTCATTATCACTTTTTTTCTCTTTCCAAATTTATTTCGTTGGACTGTACTTCTTGAATAACATCTGCAAAACCCAGTCTTTCCGATTACTGCTTATACTCTTACTATCTCTACCCACTATGGAATTTGAATTGACAACTACATCTCTGCGCTAATGTGGTATGGCAACTAGAACTGATGTACGTACTTACGAAGTTCTACGTTGTTACTGACTGACTAACTTAATCAAAGCAGCAAGATGGAATTATCAGAGAAAATCCCGGGTAGTGGAGGCAGTAGCAGTATTAGTGGTAGTCGAAAATGTTAGGTTTCGAAAATACAACATAAGGAAATGGAAATTAGGGACTGAGATAACTAGACAGAGAAGCATTATCTTATGTCTAACAAGTAAAAAACTCTTATGATGGGCGATTTCCGTGATCTGATGTTAATGCACTACGTGCTACACGCCACCCCCACCCACCGACATACTTGGGTGAGAACATAAGAGTGAACGAGAAAGTATTTTAGGTTCAACATATGAAAAGCGTACGAAAACCATTCTTTATCCGTTTTTTTTTAAATGCTTAGAATACAGCAAAAAACAAGTTGCCAGAAGAGTCTCCCATTATTTCATGAAAAGTCGTCAGTTCGTCAAATAACGAGTTGCAAATACTAGAGGTACAGGGCTTAAAAAGCTTGTGTAGTTTAAAATATTGCTAGGTAAATCTAAAGCTTTGTGGCTTTTTGAATAAAAAAATTGAAGTATGACAAGTGTGAAGTAAAATAAAAACTCTAAATTTACAAGATAAGTAATATATACATCTGCGTTGCAGTGATCACGGACCAGAGGAAGTCTATTATTACCACTCAAACTTCAACCATCAAGCTTATTACTGATAAACTGACTTGCTTTAGCAGTCAATCACTTCATGAACTTATGTTATATTTCCATCTTGTCAATAATACGTTCATCTTAACATACTGATATTCTGGATAGTATAATACATCCTGGATGAATGACAACTGATTCAGTATGCTTATTAATGAAACATAAGTTCAGAAGCATTTGACAGAAAGTTAACAATATAAAGCCTCTAGGTAGATGTGTTTTGAATGCTAAGAAACCTGCATTTACCAGGTTTCATAGAAAATGATAATTTTTTATCGCTCAATCACTATTCTATAATAATTTAGGCATTCAATAGAACGTTTATAAAAGTTAAATTTCTGTTAATATAAGAATGGATCTATTCTATATTTGGAGTTAAATTAATTACTACAGTTTGGCAAGAAACTATGGTTTCATTTACTGAATTCTACATGGGTCACCTTAAAATACAAAGGCTAATGATACCGTTTTAAAATACAATCAAGCTGCTAATGGTTGACTGTTTAAAACGTAGTGGTTCTCGAACATTGTTTCGGTGATCCAATAAAAAATATCAGCTTTTACCTGTTTCTTTTGCCATTTTAATTCATCGAGCGCTTGTTCAAAATCATGTTTTCTTTGTCTCAATGCAAATTCTGTTGCTTGAGCTTGAGCCTCTAAGTCATTCGAAACTTGGCATAGTGTTAGATAGATCGCTTCACGTAATCTCCGTCCCGAGCGAATTTCCGCCTGAGCTCTCTGCCAGTTGTACCTTGTGAATTCTTCCCATTGTTGTGGAGTAGTTGTTCTTTATGTGGAATATATATTAACAAACAGAATGTCATACGGTAATATAACTCTTAAGTATTATTGGATGCTTATATTAAACAAGTTTCATTTAATGAAAGATTTAAATTTAAATGACTAATATTAAAATACAGAACTTTAACAATAAGAATTTATCTAAGCTCCTAACTTTGTATACCAACCAAACAGAAAAGTGGCACGAGTACAGCACTTAAGAGGTAAGAAGTAAAGATATGAAACATTAAATTATAAATTTTAAGGAAAGCAACTAGTCATTTTGTAACTAGGGAAAATGAGTTATTAAATTACGTTTGGATGAATGAGCTACGAATTCGTTTAAGCATTTTCTAAGTTTCTTTTTTAATGTTTGTGCTAATATAGCATGGGTTCCAATATGGCATGGTGTTCAGAACCAATGCATATTAATGCCAGTCCCTAAGCTGATTATGACTGATATGTTTGCTTACAAATGACCATAATAAGTCATTTGTGTAACAAGATATGCATTAAAATATCTAAGACAACATCAAGCAAGGATAACACAATATGTGTGATTGGCACACAAATTTTGACAAAAAATAGATTCATTTTGCACACAATTACTGGTTAAACCGAGGTTTTCTAATGCAGAGCACGTTTCAGGTCGAAGACGTGCTTGTTTCCGTAAAAACAAGAAAAATAATGAATGATTTTATGAATCAATATCGTGCCAGGATTGTCTTTATACATTTTAGTTAAAAGGTTTTGTCAAAAAAAAGACGAAAGTAAGGGTACAACTGTTCAAACCATGATCATTAAATCATAAGCGTCATACATCTAAGACCTGATAATTGTTTGAAAACAAATCTAAATTCACTCTTTCACAACGCATCTGCTGACAAATAAGTAGAATGACGTACCAGTTCTCGTAAATTTGTACAGGAGAAAAATTCGTTTTTTATAGGTAACATTATGGTTTACAGGGATTACGTATACGTTTCCGAACAATTTAAAAAGAAATCCATGAGGGCATTAGTCTTAATAAAAGAAATTTTTGAAAATGAATAGTCTATAGTTGATTTACAGTTTTATGCAAACACTTATTTTGGTTAATTGTGATAATTTCAACTAAATATTATGGCAATGGACTTCGGAATTTTTGGTAAAGAGATCAGTTTAACAGATTGCTCCATAATTCAAACTGCTTATAAAAACTAACGACTGCACGGCACAAGATTTGGCTATATCTATTTTATGTTTACAAAAACTTTTCTTCTTGGTGTTTGTCTAGTTTATGTTTCACACACCCATATCTCTTCATGAGTACTGGAAAACAGTTTTTTGTTCAAACGCCTTTCGTGAAGAAAGCATAAAAAATAAGTGCAGCACACAAAATGAGGTTTAGAGCACTTTTAAGATAAATATAACATAACTAAGGATAAAAACATAAATAATTTACTCGCATCACAGAAATTGCTTCAGGTTGTCCCGGTTAGACTGGTTATTATCTAATACAAAGCATGTCACCGTCACATATTAAAAATACATATAAAAACCTCATTAACTTATTCCCAGAAAATCCCAAGTACTATCACTCCATTAGAGTACAATTATGTTTTAAAACACGAACTTTATAAACGATGAGTTTCTGCTTAGATGTTTCATTGATGAATAACTCATTTATAGCAATTTACTCCAACTATGAATTTTTTCACGAATATATAACCTCTTGATTACGTACTTTATTTTGCATGTTCCATGCTGATTTGAAAAGAGTCTAGGTACGATGTTTGTATAAAATAGCGACCGTTTTCTAATGTGCAACGCACTTTGCTTTAAGTGCAATATGATGCACCTCCGTCACCTTACTGTCTATATGTGGTGGCCGACTTGTTACTACCAGAGTACATTTTGAACTGAGCTAGGAACTATTAGTTTGTGTACAATAATCAGTCCTTCTACCTCTACTTATCATATCAAAGGCTTTACTCAATGTTTGAACAATCGATAAGTCACATTGAAATAAACAGATGTCCTTTAATCGTTTATTAGAGGAAATATATGACTACAGTTACCCTTTTGGAATTCGTGTTGGATTGAGCTTGAAAGAAACTCCTGGACAGGTATGTGTCAGTTTGTACTGTTGGATGTCAATGTCCATAGCAGCATGCTTATCCTGTAGATCGAGTAATATTTGTTGTCTGGCCTCTTTAAGAAGAACCATTTGTTCAAATGCCTCATCCACTTTCTGCTGAAGTCTTTTATTGGATTTATCAATCACCTCTTTTTCCTATAACTAATATGAGCACAAATCATCGACCTAACTTTCTTTAACTGAATCTCCGGTGCGTCCTCAATGTTGTCTATCCTTTTGCGTCTGTCCCTAAGTGTGAGACACTCTGTAACGCATTCTTTGGGTGTTATTATATTTCTCATTTGTTCCTCAACTGCCTCTTTCCCCAGGTTGACCATCGATATTTCCGCATCTAATTGCGAGTGAGCCAGTTCCAAAACATCTTTCCAGTCTTTTATCGCATCAATTCTGTCTGCAAGTCTTGTAGTGTTGTTAAATTCATCCCATTTTGTTTTAAGAGCAGCTGCTAGGCGTAAAGAACGCGTTTCTTGTCTTATTTGCTCTGATACCTCTCTCTGACGTTGAGAATTAGTACTTAATGCGAAAGAGTTTGTGAACCAGTCAGGAGGTTGATATTTTATTGACGGTTTAGCCAATGTTGACATTTAGGATAAATCAAATACTCGGAACTCTTTACTATAACAACGTTGGCTAAAACAAAGTGTGTACTTACGAAGCCCTAATTAGTAAATACACGTATGAGTTAATGACTGTTAATAATGATATGTGTAAATTTCTAGATTACTATAATGTCATTTATTATTATAACGTTGAACACGTATTGTCATTTCATGTCATACTAATCTCAGTATCGACATAATCAAGAGTTCGGCGTTTTTTTGAATTTCGAGTCTTGTTCATATAGATTGAAGATTATACAAGGACCTGTATTTACTACGCTTCAGAAATAAATTCAAACGAGCTTATTCAGTTCAAAAATGTTACGGATAAACAGAGTTTGACAACGCGGCTGCCTATGATGTCTTTTTAATCGAGGATCCCAAAGTCAGTTAAAATATTGAGAAGGTAGTCAATGTGTCTGGAGGCATGTGATCGAAGTTGACTGGTTGTCTTGGATGATTGACAGTATGGCTTACCAAACGATGACCTAGAGAGGATGAATGATTGTGAAATTTCAGATGAAGGTTTGCACAGTGAAACTAACAAGGTCAGAATTAGTTTATCGAGCCAATAACGAATTGATTCTAATCATCAACAACTCCATAAGACAAGATGGGAACAGAGGGAACGGAACAAAGATGGCAGCAATCACTACGACTCATATTATTTAAGGCTTCCAAGGACGGTGAAATTATAGTGTAACAACAGACCGGTGGGCTTGCTTAGTTGATCCAGTAACAAACATAGCTATAGATATAAAGTTCCTATAATCTCACTTGTGGAATAAGATATACTTACAGGGGTAGGAACATCTGGTGCATCTGCAGAGGAGAGGTAAGCATTTATGCTGCGAACAAAGGATGGCATTGATTTTATCTCACGGACAGATTATGATACATTATTCCAGAGTGTGAGAAATTAAATAACAGAGTAATCTATATAGAGAGACGACTTACAGTGTGTTTGTTTCAATAATGACAAGGAGTTATGGATTCTGAACCTAGGAGTTTCTGCGCATTTAATTACTTCATAGGAATGCAAAGTATATATCGTTTCTGGACGAATTCCAACATTAATTTACGTTTTATGTGAACACTGCTAAGAATAAATGTGTAGTATTATAGGAGTGTTCAACCATATTCTTTATACGTGAAAATACGTGACTCGTCTCAAATTATATATATATATATATATATATATATATATATATATATAAGACGTTGAATCTTGGAGTTCTATTTCGAAAATTGTTCTGTGAAAGACAAATTGTAGTTGTACCTAAGCTGGGGTTGAAGCTATCATTCAGTCTGCAAACAAGAAACAAGACTCGGTGACCAAAGACCAGCAAGCTGGCTACTGATGCGTCCCACCCCCACTAACTAGAGGGAGAAGTCCAAGCCCGGAATGGGGAAGTATATTCTGCAAACAGCCGGAAACGAGCGATAACAACCAACACAATCCAAAACGTATATATGTAGTGGCATTGGACTATAAACACACAATCCTCAAAGCTGAACACGAGACTACTCGGAAAATAGATATTCAATATTTAACGCGGAGAAATGCATAACGATGGAGAAGGCGGGAACAAGGGGTTGAATGAATTGGAGTTGATCGGATGGCATGGTTCGGCCTTGCAGGCGTGGTCCTTGTTGAATGCTATCTTATATCGTTTATTCATATTAAACACATTGTTCTATCTCTAGCCTAAGCTTGTTCTACATGTATTGATGATTTCTACGACACGATGAGTTGGTGTGACTTCTACGTAAGATCTTATAGATTAGGCAGTTATATCACGACAATTTTACAACTTTAGGATTAGGTTTATTATTAGCGCAGTACTAATATCACAGTACGTCGAGTACAGACTAAATCGATCAATCCACGTTACGAGTCACCGACAAGTCCTCCAGTTAGCAGGTAATTTTTCATAATCATAGATACTAATGGAGCAATCTATATGAGCTGGTGGTTGTTCATGTCAGTCTGACCACCAGATTTTTAACATGGTGTGAAATATGTTGTTTTCTAACGATCATGGCAAGTGCCTGACTCCTGTGCGAGAGAAAAAATAACTTCAGAAAATATGATGAAATATCACATCCAACGTATTTGTTGAGAACGGATGAGTTACCTTGTAGTCCATGATCGCTTGAAACCCTAAGGTAGTTTATAGCCTTACAATTCTCCTGGAAATTGGAAGAAATAGGGTTGATTGTGTCACTAGTCGCATACTTGACTTTTAAAACGATGCTATTTGGGTGCTAATTATCCCAATCTCCTGATTTCGGGGAAATTTTGGGGAAGCCGCCATAGCAAACTTTGGGGAAATGGCACAAAAACCCCAAACTTCCGATTTAACCGTTGTCAAGGTCATTTGACTTTGAGGATTTCTCCAAACATTGGCGAAGGTCATTTGACTTTGGGAGTTTCCCCAAAATACCCCGAACTTTGGAGCCCAGGATTGTTCGCAAAATGGAACTGAAAAGGCTTGCCATTATTTTGCCATAACACATGATGCTTGGTACATTTGCATTCTGAGTTACTATGACACGTTTATTGAAAAAAGGATTATTTTACTAATTGTCAGCCATTATTAAGTGCTAACGAATCCTAATTGATGGACATTAACCTTTGCTTTTCTTCGACTTTGTTAAAACTTATATTTCTTTGTGCAACTGCTTGAAGTCGTTTGTCTCGAAGTAATGTTTCTGCAGTTGCCTTATTTTATTACCACATTTGTCTGGTGTAAATAATTCGTAAGGTTTACGTGAAAAACATTTCTCTTTTACAACCTTACCAGAAAGCGCTGGCAGTCTCAGTTAGTATGTTATTAGTCTTTATATTGACTATTTTTCGTGGAAATGTTATAAGGGGGACAGATAAAAAGGGTGCTAACTACTACTTCATGGTTACTGCTTTCACATTTACCGCACGCTTATATAAACATTAGGATGATATTTCTCTAGAATATTAGATCATGTATATTACCATGCCTTGCTATCGTACGAACTCACAGTAACCAGCAGTGTATGTTGTAGATCACCAACACAATTACCGGTATTCCAGTTTATCCCAGATTAATTGAAATCTCATGTAGTAACCTCAGAATTTATGCCTAGAGCATATGCATGTATAAATGCATCAATATTAAGATAATTCATATTATCCGAAATTTCAGGGGTTCTGTTTATACATCTTAAGAGTAGACTATGATTCAGGGTGTTGACTGATATCCAGATCGATTCAGGTAAACTATTCAGGACACCATTTTCAACTTCATTAGTTGTTAGGGTACCCAAACGATAAGTAAGACAACCAGTCCCACACTTGGTCTCTCAATCAAAGCGATAGAGCTTATAGTTCTAGATGTTTAATTCTGAATTGGATACTACAAGAGAGCGATATTTGCCAGTGAAGAGTGTGAAAATAAGTTTGTCTTGTAAAGGTATGATTCTTAAAGATGAAAATTCAGAAATGAACTTGTATTGATAAGCAACAAATTTATCAGGAAGTATTGAGTGTAAAAGAACGGAGAACTTCCTTATCGATGTTATTTATTCTGGATATGGTACTAGCCATTTATTTGCATAGGGTCTCTAAATTTTATTAGCTTCCATTCAACTGACTTATTCAATGGCTGAGTTAGTTCATCTAGGTTTGTCGTCTCAAAGTGTTTCAGTAGATTCCAGTGTATCATGACTCTCAAAATGCTCCGATGTAAACAGTGCCACACTAATATGGTCTTTTTTGGTTTTATTAACTTTGCTAAACCAAGACTTTGTAACCGACCTTGAATACATCAACGACATTTGAATTTAATATGTCCTGGCATGTGATGATCCATTTCTGTTGTGATTGATATAGCGATTCGTTGTGTATGACTCTATAAATAGCATAAAGGCGGCGACTCATAATTCTCAGAGCATGGGGATTCGGAAAATGAAATATATCTTTTCAATGATCCATTTGAACATAAAAACGGTGAAAGTGTAACAGCTCAGGTTGGTTGGTTAAGAGTTGACCCCAAACAACCAAGCTTATGCCAAAACAGTACTGTTCAAGTATTCATTCACTTCCTTATTTTTCATAAGCGTTATATTCCCTATTATCTTGAATGTTGAGAGCCTTTGTTTGTCTGAACAGATAATCCCACGCCCCACTGTGACTGCGCGAAGATCGAAATAAAGACCTATTCACTACTTCTCTGGTTTCTTCTATCAATAGCACGAGGGTTACCTTGAGGCACGAAAAAAGTACCGCATAGTGTAGTTTGTATGTTTATAAAAAGATGGTTGTCTGGAATCAGCAGAGCGCGAAGTGATCCTTTCTCTAAGGTAAGCGTGAACGCTAGTCATAGAAATGTACAGGGTATGCTTCACTTCCATGCCACTTCATACAACAGATGGTACATTTATATGTCTATGTACGTATATTCGGTCAAGATAAAGAGCTTGAAAGTTGGGTGGCTGTGCAAGTATTAATCCAATAAAGTTAAACGTAAATGGCGTTGCAGCATAAACATAAACTTAGTTTAAAATCTAACAGCACCTTATATACACTTTTTGACTCAATATCACCTTGGTAACAGGCCATTCTATCTAGTTGACTCAATTAGCGAGCAAATAAATGGATGCCAGAATAATATCGTTAGTTAATTGGAATAGTAAACGGAACACACCCATTAAAACATTGAATAAGATCCAATAGATCGAAAAAGTACATAATATTGGCACACTGAAGTTTAGGTCCTGACATTGAAAATATTTCACAAGTAGCCCCACATAATATCAGTTATCAAACATAGAAAAGACGTAGCGTGAATAATGATTACACCAAATCTCAGCGATATTTCACTGACCCTATTACTTATAGTTTAGCACAGTCGCATGTTATTTCCGCTTTCCAAGCACATTTGACGAGAGTGCTATCCTTTTAGACATAGTGGAAAAGCTTCAGACATAGCGTCTAAAATAAATATAGAAAGTGGTGTGAACAGTTCATAATTGTATTAGCTTTCATTCTCTTAACCTTGGAGATGAAGGAATTCTCAAAACATCGACTTCGATAATTTCTCCATAAATATGGAGTGGTTCTAAAATACTTTCATCATAAAGTTTGACCAGACTGCTGAAGTTACGAGACATATATACAGAAGAACAGATACGAAGAAGTGCTTCTAGGGTACTAAGATGTAATCGGATGCTCTTTATTAAACTATATTTAAATAAAGCGCTCTAAAAATTTGCAAATATATCTACTTGCGAATGTAGAGTATAATTTTACAGTTTGGTGTGATGTGAATTCTCAGTTTCGAACAAGCGAGTGATGGATTGAAAGCGTTGATAATTTTTAGCAAACGCTAAGTAATGCATGTTCTAAAAGGTAACTCTAAATCCAAAAGTTCTAGAAACTTGGGATGTGACGAGGTTGATCTTCTCATCAGTCTGAACTCCCAACATTTATGTGAGTTTGTTTTGATTCTAATAGTTATAAGTTCAATAAACTGATCCACTGGATTCCACTTTTAGTCACTATCTAATATTACGTTACAACTAAAGAGTAAATGGCACCACCCATGTTCTTTTTACAATTTAGGTTGATTGAAATGTTGCTTGGAAAACAACATAATCAGTCACATAATAAATATATATAATTGAGAGCTTTAGTTCACTGACCGGTGCCATAAATTGGACTTTGGGCTACATTCAAATAACGTTTCCGTGATGTTTAACAAACAATATGGTGCTGGTATGATATATACAACCTTAAAATAGCTCTGACCTATTCGATGACATTTTACGTTCAAATTCAATCCATTCAATTCCAGATTTAACAATATTCTGAAATAAACACTGCAGTATTCAACACTCAAGGTCTGGATGTATATAGACCTTATCATATTGAATGTCCGAACGATAGTAAGATACGTAGAGACAACGTTTCACAAATTTACAACTTAGTATTTTTTGTTATAATACATTAATGTATTCAAAACTGACATTTTTGTTGAAAATAGAAACTGCCATTTTCAAATCCAGAAAGCTTATTCACGGGACCAAACGTTTCCCGTTTTGTCAGAGAATTCTCACCGTATAACAAATCAAAGTTACTTCTAACAGATCATCTTCATATATATCAATATCAGGGTTCAAATAAATTGTACATTGAGTATAGAGTTAATCATAAACATATTTCTTTGTTATTGATAAGGCTTGTCGATTGAACGCTATATTCGTTTCCTAAGCTGTTCCGGTAACTCGCAAGCTAGAACTACACAGCAACCTGAACACCAGAGAGAAGACGCAAAGTATGAGTGAAATACTTTACTCCAAGGTTTGATTTTGTACAGAAAACATGGGTATTTATAGATGTTAACGTTTGTTAAATCAACATCATATTTCGGCCAATCCGTTAACGACATATTATGCTACTGACCAATAGTAGTACGCCACGCTGGAATTCTAGGATGCTCCATCATGCTCTGATTGGCTCGGACTCTTCGACTCCTTTTGGGCCTCTGGAGGCTCCGTTGAAGTTCTCAGAAAACCGACTCAACACCTCCCCCGAATAAGATTTCTCTCTAGGATCTGTTTGTAGCTTGACAACTGGGTTGTGGCGGCGTCTCATTATTCTTGTCGTCTGTCTTGTCCGAGGCTTCTTTTCGGTGTGCTTGGGCATGCGTAGCATTGGTGTATCTAAGATTAACCCTAACGGAAAATTCGACTGGTTGTTTCGAGACTGCATCGTTCCAAGAGTTCCTTGGACTCTGTGCAGAACTTATATCAAATTTTGTAGAACTTCTCCCGGCTCCCATCGGTTCTTCACGATATATGATTTAATGAAAACTTTGTCGCCAACGTTAAAGTTCCGGATATTTGGATTGTTATTGCGCTCATCCACTAATTTGGATGGCAACATGGTGTTGAAGGCAGTTCAAATACGCCTTCCCGACATAGCTTCAGCAGGAGACTTGCCGTCTGGAACATTCGGGTTCGTGGTGGATCTGTAAGATGTTAAAAATTTCGTGATTACCTGTCCAGTCGCCAATTCACCTCCCCATTTCAGTAATGCTCGTTTAAAGGTGTCCACAAAGCGTTCTGCTCGTCCGTTTGACTGCGAATGATAGGGTGGAGAACGAAGATGAGTTATTTCGTTTGCTCTACAGAAATGCTTAGACGCTTCTGCGACGAACTGCGAGCCTTTATCCGTTACTAGGGTCTCTGGTACTCCGAAACAGCTAAACAGGGTAGACAACTTGTGGATTGTTTCTGATATTGTACGATTCGGCATGGTATATACTTCCGGCCATTTAGTAAATGCACCTTTAGTGGCACTGAACAGTAACCACACAATCCTCAAAGCTGAACACGAGACTACTCGGAAAATAGATATTCAATATTTAACGCGGAGAAATACCTAACGATGGAGAAGGCGGGAAGAATGTATTGAATGATTTAGAGTTGATCGGGTGGAACGGCTCGGCCATGCGTGCGTGGTCCCTCTGAATGTTACCTTATATCTTATATTCATATTAAACATATTGTTCCTTCTCTAACCTAACCTTGTTCTACATCATGTATTGGTAATTGATACGATACAGTGAGTTAGTTTAGTCGATGGTGTGACTTTCACGTAAGATCGTATAGATTAGGCAGCTATATCATGACAAATCTACAATTTTGGGATCAGGTATATTATTAGAGTAGTACTACTATCATAGCAGACCATAATCCTACACATCTACGGTAATTAGGAACATTTTTCCTTGAATTGGATCAGCAAAATCTGCGTGAAGTCTTACCCAGGGTCCTGCAGGCGTAGGCTAATACTAAGGTTCGTATTTCAAAGGATTTTTAGCGGCTTGAATGCATGATGGACAGTTACGGCATTTATTATTGATATCTTTGTCCATTGACCGCCAATAAGCATAACTACGAGCCAACGATTTCATTTTATTGATTCCAGGATGACCACTGTGAAACTGCTTGAGGACCTTGTGACGTAATAACCTCGGAATAACAATTCGATCACCGAACATAATACACGAGTCAACAACCATTAGTGAGTCTCGTCGACGAAAATATTGCAAAAGTTCTCCGTCAAGGCAATCGTTTGACCATGTGATCGAGAGATAGAATTTAACCGTGCTCATTATCTCATCACTTTCAGTGATCTTCTTGATAGTTTCAAAGGTTACTGGGAGTCCATTGATTGCGTCATCCAATACGCAATGAACTTCCTCCTCGGCTTTTATATTTGCTACAAGAGTCTCCTCCGGGATTTTTGATTGGGAGCCTATTAATCTTGACAATGCGTCAGCTTGCCCGAAGGCGGTAGTAGACTGATACTTGATCTTGAAGTCGTAACCCAGAAGTGTGGTTGCCCATCGTTGTAGTCGGTTAGCTGTATGAACAGGAAGTCCTTTCTTTGACCCAAAAACTGCAAGTAATGACCTATGGTCTGTTATTAGGGTAAAATGTCGACCATATATCATCTTATGAAACTTTTTCACTGCAAAGATAATTGATATGGCTTCTTTCTCAATCTGACTATAGCTCCTTCCAGTCGTTGTCAAAGATCTGGCAGAGTGAGAGATAGCTTTTACAGACCCATCAGGAAAAATGTGTGAGATGACTGCGCTCACACCATAGTTAGAGGCATCTGAAGCAACGACTATCGGCAGCGAAGGATCATAATGTGTCAACAGTTATATCCCAATGAGAAGGAAAAATAGTATTTCTTACGTTTCGTGACTCTGTGTAAGTCACTTGATCAGTGTAAATAAATCATTGAAATTCACTCTGAAGAAGTAGTTTACATCAAGTCACGAAACGTCAGAAATACAATTGTTCTACAAAGAAATATATATTCATTATTAGATCAGTTTCATTCTAGTTCAATGAATAAATACAGGCTACCTCATTAAGATCCACATAATTACCATAACCAATAGTTGGAGATTTCGGATAACATCGTTTAGAATTGTTTTCAATGACACATACATTCATTCTTCACCCTCACTTAGATCTAAAACTTCTTCTTTCTATTACTAATATTCTTTTCTCTAATACTGATTTCGTCACTATTTTCTCTTGACATTCATGTTGATGATAAGGTGTAAGAACTTGAACCGAAGTAATAAATGTGCCACTTTCTACATTATACATGACTAACTGACTCCAATATGTAACTATTATGATGTTCAATATTCCTATGTTAAAGAATATAAATAACTCAACAGATTTTGAATAGTGTAACATATTTGTTAACTGAATTCATTTCTTATTATTTCACCAAATTTTTTTAGAAGAATAAGATAGATATGAGATAGAATAAACAATAATTGAATAGAACTAGAAAGAAGGAAGGTCTAAGATAAAATTGGTTGAAAAATGCTGATCCGCAGTCCAAGCTCCACTGGGGGGGGGTAACAGACATAAGTAACGTAAGTTAATTTTGTAAGTAATATCTAATTTATGATACATAAATGCATAAAATCTTATTAGAAATAGGATAAATACACATGTAATTTATTTTCGAAAGTCAAATATAAAATACTTTGAAATTATATTAGATGATCTTTTAGTCACTTTAATTAAATACGAATGTCATTTAAGAAATATAATCATGATATTGCTACCATAATTAGTAATGATAATAATAATGATAATAGTAGTAGTAATCGCGATAGTAGTAATACTAGTAATAGTAACAGTAGTAGTAATAGTAGTAGTACCAATAATAGTAATAATAGTAGTAGTAGCAACAGTAGTAGTATTAGTGATAGTAGTAATAGTAGCAGTCATAGTGATAGCAGTAGTATTAGTGATATTAGTAAGAGTAACAGTAGTAGTGATAGTGATGGTAGTAATCGTATCACTCACAGCAACAATAGTAGTCATAGTAACAGTGGTAGTAGTAGTAGTAGTATATAACAATCAGAAAATAATAAATAATAACTGATTTGAGGAAAATAATAATGTTTCATTAGGTTCTTTTTTATTCTTCTTATTATTATTTGGATGAATAAATTTCAAAATAAAAATTAAATAAACAAATTTTCATAGAAATAATCGAATTCAATGAGGATATTACTTGTATTACACAATTTGGTATCCATGGATGAATGATTCTGGAATTATTGATTTATTTTATTCTTACTATATAAATATCAATAATAATAATAATAATAATAATAATAATAATAATAATAATAATAATGGTATCAAGAAAATAACATGGATTATAAAAATAATAATAATAGATCAATAATTATAATAACAACAAAAAAATCAATAAATTTTCTTTACAGGTTGAAATCATGAGTCAGTTGAAGCTAGACCACCATTGAAAACCTGGAAGCACTGGACGGCCGTTTCGTCCTGGTATGGGACTCCTCAGCAGTGCGCATCCATGATCCCGCACCACATGGATCTCTTTTTTCATTGGAATAATTATGAATGGTGTTTTGAACTGTCTATTAATTACTACCTCCCACATTCACAGCCACATTTGGCTAATTCTTCTACAGATATTGTTTCATATTTTATTGGTACGTTGTGGTCTGTTTGATTGGTATATACACCCACTTAACAGGCAGGGCAAAAACGGGAAGCAGGAATTTTAAGGAAACTAGACTGCTCGTACTGGTTTTATGCGTCATTGATCCGGTCGATAATTCACTATTCTTTAATTGGCGGTATTATCACGTTATACATTAACAGGCCACACAGGCTACAAGTTATAACACTTATATTAAGTCTATATTATTTGCTGTTAGAGAGTGAATTACTTTAAGACAAAGTTTTGTTACAACAAAAGTTAGATGGTGGATAACACAGGAATATACAATGCATGTTTCGTCTTAAATAAGACTCATCAGCTGAATATATATCTGTATCACACAGTTGATATTCATTCAAGGACTTCAACCCAGTACCGTTTGCTTTAACCGCCATTGAGTTATTCACTTAGCTAATGACTGCTTATAGCCACTTGATTGTGCAATGGGATGATGTTTAAATTCAGAAAAATGGGACAAAACGCATATCCTGGATTTCACTGCTATCCACTATCCATTTCTGTTCATAAAGCTTATGACTTAAGACAATGTCGAGGTAGTCCACATATGAGTCGATCACCATGGACAACCTGGAACAGAATTGAACCCATTTCATGAAAAATCATTTTATAAGACAATCATTTATCATTATACATTCATCAAATTGGTTCAATATACACATTTGGAATCTATTAGATAAAGTAAATGATAGTTTTTTCATAAAGAAACTAATTATTTATTTGTTATATAGGAAAATATACTACAAGTTAGTATATAACTAGAGAAATCACGATCTACCTAGTAGAATGTCTAAATAAAAGGTATCTGTCATAAGACGACGAGTTTATACACAACTCCATTCTCTACTGATTGATGATAATAGTTTATTATTGTATTCTTTATCTAACCAATGTCAATAAAGAATGATCAAACCTTGGAACTACTCTCCAAAATAATGTTATCACCATTATTATTATTATTATTATTATTATTATTATTATTATTATTATTATTATTATTATCACATATGGATACTAACAGCAACAAAACAGGTGGGTAGAACACTTCAAAAAACTCTTGAATCGACCAGCTCCACTGAACCCACCCTACATAGAAGCAGCACCCACGGACCCCCCAATCAATGTTGGCCCACCAACAATTGAAGAAATCAGCATGGCCATCAGACAAATCAAGAGTGGCAAAGCAGCGGGACCGGACAACATTCCAGTAGATGCACTAAAAGCAGATGTAGCGGCAACTGCAAGGATACTCCACATTCTCTTCAATAAGATTTGGGATAAAGAACAAGTACCAAAAGACGGGAAAGAAGGACTCCTGATCAAAATACCGAAGAAAGGTGATCTCAGCAACTGTGATAACTACAGGGGCATCACTCTTCTATCAATACCAGGAAAAGTCTTCAACAGGGTATTGTTAAACAGGATGAAGGACTGCGTAGACACCCAACTTCGTGACCAACAGGCAGGATCCCGTAAGGATAGATCGTGTACAGACCAAATCGCAACTCTACGGATCATTGTGGAACAATCAGTTAAATACAATTCATCACTCTACATCAACTTCATTGACTACGAGAAAGCATTTGATAGCGTGAACAGAACAACACTATGGAAACTTCTTCGACACTACGGCGTGCCTCAGAAGATAGTCAATATCATACAGAGTTCATATGATGGATTAGACTGCAAAATCGTGCACGGAGGACAGTTGACAAAGTCGTTCGAAGTGAAGACCGGTGTTAGGCAAGATTGCTTACTCTCACCCCTTCTCTTTCTCCTAGTGATCGACTGGATCATGAAGACGTCAACGTCTGAAGGGAAACACGGGATACAGTGAACTTCTAGGATGCGGTTAGACGATCTAGACTTCGTAGATGATCTGGCCCTTCTATCCCAAACGCAACAACAAATGCAGGAGAAGACGAACAGTGTGGCAGCAATCTCAGCAGCAGTAGGTCTTAATATACACAAAGGGAAAAGCAGGATTCTCCGATACAATACAGCATGCAACAATCAAATCACAATTGACGGAGAAGATTTGGAAGATGTAAAAACCTTTTACATATTTAGGCAGCATCATTGATGAACAGGGTGGATCTGATGCAGATGTGAAGGCGCGAATCAGCAAAGCAAGAGCAGCATATTTACAACTGAGGAACATCTGGAACTCAAAGCAACTGTCAACCAACACCAAAGTCAGGATTTTCAATACAAATGTCAAGACAGTTCTACTGTATGGGGCAGAAACCTGGAGAACTACGAAAGCCATCATCCAGAAAATACTGGTGTTTATTAAAAGTTTTCTACGCAAAATACTTCAGATCCGTTGGCCGGACACTATTAGCGATAACCAACTGTGGGAAAGAACAAACCAGATCCCAGTGGAGGAAGAAACCAGAAAGAAGCACTGGAATTGGATAGGACACACATTTAGGAAAGCACCCAACTGCGTCACAAGATAAGCCTTCACATGGAATCCTCAAGGCCAAAGGAAAAGTGGAAGACCAAAGAACACATTACGCCGAGAAATGGAGATAGACATGAGAAAAATGAACAAGAATTGGATGGAACTAGAAAAGAAGGCCCAGGACAGAGTGGGTTGGAGAATGCTGGTCGGCGGCCTATGCTCCATTGGGAGTAACAGGCGTAAGTAAGTAAGTAAGTAATATGGATGCTAAGTAATTTCTAAGTAGTCTTTCAGCAATAAAAGATTTGTGCACTAAGGGTGAATAACAGTAAAACCAAATAACTAAATGAATAAACCAACTTTTATTAGATAAGTTTATCATCAATCCTGTTACATATGCTTTTTTGTGAAATATTTACGATAAAACGTTACTACAAAAGATGTTTGATCGAATAGTTTCACAGTATTTGGGCGCCGAGTTAATGTCAGACATTAATAAGGAAGAATGTATTTGTAAAATCTCATAATTCATTCTCTGAGATTTTACGAAAGATGTTTTTTTCTGACTCCTTTTCGTCAGTACAGCAGTATGTAGAAGCGGTATACATTATCTATGGACAAATTCTAGTGACCAGCTACGTCAAAGTTGCAATTCAAACCAAAGTCTTTATAAATAAATCTAAATGGCAGTTGTTATTATCATTTCCTCAAGTCTGAATTTATACAGGAGTTCGTTATGTGTGGTAATCAATGTCATATGTGTCAGGTCGTGCTTAATACAGATCGAATCCTATCGAACAAGTTGCAATGTGGCCACTAGTATAGGTGACTCGACATTGCGTTGAGATAAGATGGTAGTTGGAGGCAGTCGACAGGAAACCCTGGACCTGGGTTTCGTGCTACTTGGCACTCGTCAGCAAGGTGTAGCTGTAAAGGTCATTTTAAACTTTACTATTTCTCGTCAAACAATTGGTATATTCATTACCAATCTATTCTTGTTGCATCAGGATTTGTATTATAGAGTAAACTATCTAATCAATATGTATTTCCACTTTGCTAGAGAGATAAAATGCCATTTGGGTTGTACTGATACTACTAGCTTTACTAAATATAAGTAGTTTACGATTTAGAAAATTTATTTATAAAACTATGCAATGAATTACAATAGAAAACCAAATTAGCATAACAAAACGAAACATTTTTTCTAAGCAACGTTTATATAAGCAAGTATATGCACAATTAAGAAAAAAGGGATAATGGATATATAACAATAAGGGATTCACTTAGTGAACGAAGCACATTTCATCAATATTTCATGCAAAAACAACCAATGTTAATAGTGAATGAAAATTAATTACTCTATATAATTATCAGAATGGGTTTTGTGGATGTTATAGTAGTTTTATAGTTGAATTCATGAGTCAATTGAATTTAGACCACCATGGAAAACCCGAAAGAACTGGACAGCCGTTTCGTCCTAACAAAGGACTCTTCAGAAGTGCGCATCCCCGATCCCGTCAAGCGAGACTCGAAACCAGGATTTATCAGTCTCTCGCACGAACGCTTAACCTCTAAACCACATCATATAAACTTACTCGTTAATTTGATTTGATCTAAATCGCTGGGTGGAATCATGGGTGCGTACTGCTGAGGAGTCCTATATTGGAACGAAACGGTCGTCCAATGCTTCCGGATTTAAATGATTAATTAATTAAATTCTTATTTTATTTGTTTGATCATTCATTTTTCATATCAGTAAATAACTTTTCATTTGAAGGGCATACATTAGTATAAAGTAGTATTTTATAAATAGACTAAATGTATTGCCTACTACACAAGTAAATTGTCCATTAAAAGAAAACATGATTTTAGTATTCTGTTCACTTGAAGCAAAATTTCTAACGCTATGATCGAGTTATTTTTAAATCGCTGAGTTATAAAATTGATAAGTCTTCTAATTGAATGCTAAATTCGGTTCCTATGCTCTTCTAGTAACCCTCAGTCTAGATTTACACAGGAACTTGAACACGTGAGAAAAAGCGAGAATTATGGAAAAAACGCTTTACTCCAACAATTCGTTTATGTACAAAAAATATGGGGTTTTTGATAGTAGTTTAGATATCCTTGGGATATAATTTTGGAATGCTACTAAGCATAGTAGCAGTATATGTAATCATCCAACCAGAAACTCAACATATGACTATTCACTTTCTGGATGTTTCTGGCAAAACTTCTAGTGAATGCTGGTTGGATAAGATGCTTTTCAGTGTTTTCAGAGCCTTTTTTAACTTTCGTCTCGAGGAATTTTCTGGATCGCTCCAACAAAACTTAAATGTTCGTCAATGCATTTGACTTTTATAGTTCATTTGTATCGTAGGTTTTACATAACACATCAAGATTTGAAACTGAAAATGATGAATTTGAAGTATAAGTTCCTTCACAATTTAAGGTACATAATGCTTACGTAAACTAATTGATATGAAATCAGGGTTCAAGATTTCCTACTCTAAACTTTCAGTTATGTAATATCATTACATAATACATACAATGCTTAGTCACTCAAACCAATTACTACTTAGTTGTTAAAATTGAATCATTACGAAAAGACTAAACAGACATGGTATTTGTCACTATTCATAGATCATCCAACTGTAAGATGATATTCTGAATTATATGACTTTGAAAAGTTGGTAAACATCATAATACTTAGTTTAATATAGGTACATATAGATATTTTACCTAAATAATGATTAAAATTACAGAAACAGTGAAGCTAATCCGTGTCGGGTAGAGACAGGTATCTATCTCAGTACAATGGAAGATGATCGCGCAATTTCGCGAATTGGTTGAGAACAGACATTAACACCATTGGATGCCGGTTCAGTGGTCTAGAAGTTAAACGCTCGTGTGCGAGACTGATAGGTTCTGGGTTCGAATCTCGCAAACAGGATTGTGAGGAGTCCCACAATAGGACGAAACGGCCATCCAGTGCTTTCAGTTTTTCAATGGTCGTCTAACATCAATCGGTTCATGATCTCAATCAAAACAAACTCAGTCTCACACTTTGATATCACATCATATATATATATATGTTTTTCTCAACATTTCTTGTGTTTCAATGAATATATGGATATTTAACATTGATGAAATTAGTAATAAATGGAACGGATCAATATAGAAGTCTAATTAGTTATTCCAATTTTATGACTAGTCATAAATTAATGCATTCTACATTGAAGATTCTGAGATAGTGGAGATTTTTAGCTCAGGTGGATGATCTTGATGGAGTTTTGTTCTCTGAGCTGGATGGTTTGGTCAGATAAAAGTCTATCTAAAGTTTGTGCTGATGATGTCGTTCAGAAGAACGATGAAAGCTCCACGACCAAACCATCGAGCTCAGAGAACAAAACTCCATCACCATCAAAGATTTTCTCAATGTACAAACAGTAATTCTGTTCTAATTAAGCAAGTTAATAACTTATAAGTGTATTTTCATTCTGTTTATAAAAACAACTACCATTTAAAAGAAAACAAGTATCATGCAATTCATGTACTTTTACTAAGTTTAACTATCATCACAAATATATAATACAGGGATTTCATGCTAAACTATTGAAATTAACTTCTTCTAATAATAATGAAGCATTCACAATTAGTGATGACTACCTGACCTTTTACGATATTCAACGTTTCAACTAATTCCTTTTTCCCTGTTACTGTTACCATGGTTACGCAACATCATGTCCATATTCTGTAATATCTTCTTTATCTAAATAGATTGAATATGTACTAAAAAAAATTAGTTTTTTTTAAAATTTGTAAATGATTACGTAATCTTACTTTTCTAAATATTCAACAATTTGTTCATGACCAAATTGTTTCGCATTTGTTAATGGTGTATGTCCCCAACGATCAATTGAATTAAGGGTTACACCACAAACTTCAATAAAAAATTTGACAGCATCTAATGAACCACAACTAGCAGCTACATGTAAACCAGTACGTCCATCATAATCAACTGAATTAAAATCTACTCCATGGATAAAACATCTAAAAGATTTTTAAAAAAAAGTGTTTAAAATAAGAAATAATATTGTATAATAATTAGTTATTATAGAAACTTTATATTCGGTCATCGCTGATTGCTGTGCCGGGAAAAAAACGCTGATCACTTATACACGGAACGAGAGACTTCTGCAATTCCCATGATGCGAAAGTAAGAACACAAAGACTAGTATAAGTGATGATTTATTAACCCCAAAAGACGACGACGACTCTAGTAGAAAATACACTCGTTTATATACTGATTGTCTACCCATTTTGATGAATAATTAAGATGAAATCACATAATGAGCATAGTTCATGTCCATTGAATACAAGAATATCGTATATTATACAGAAGAAAATATTATACTGGGAAAAGAAAACAAATACTACATTGACTAATCAACCGGCGGCCTGCTTGTATATCTGGGCTACCTGTTCCTCCGATTTAGATATTTCATCAAGTTATCTGTTTTGTTGTTTGTTTTAGCACATCACTATGTCTATTGTGCACACAATCTATTCAGGAGCGTTTATGAAAAGTTTACAACCTTTCGCTATACGGGATACAAAAAGGTACAATCAGCGACATCATGGTTGCTGACAATATGCATTGAAACAAATGAACAGTAATCAAATGTGGATTACCGAACTCCCAAGATTTAACTGGTCATCATTCAAAATTTATCGTCACAATCGATCGAGATATAAGAAAAGGAAACTTGTTGAAATACTTTATGCTGAGAATTCTATATTGTACCAAAAATATAATATTGAATAAAGCTTCTAATAATAAAAATATTAAAAAAATATATTGAATCAAAACGGAATTAATCTTGAACCAAAACTCATAATGAGTAAATCAATGGAAAATTGATTTTTCTTTCCATCATATCACAATTGTTTTCAATAATTTCATCATCAAGCTCTACAGTTATAATTTCAATAGTTGATATGATAAGTCAATTGAAGCTAGACCACTATGGAAAATCTGAAAGCACTAGACGGTCATTTTCTCCTATTATAGGACTCCTTAGCAATGCGCATACACAATCCTGCCTCACGAGATTTGAACTCAGAACCTATCGGTCTCGCGCACAAACGCTTAGCCTCTAGACCATTGAGTCGGCTGGCATCCAATGATGTTAATGTCTAACTTCAACCCCTTCTGATTCTATAGTTATAAGTCCATAATTATTGTGGTATTTTTACAAAGGCCAAAATAAGGAATGTATTAATGTATTTGACAATGGTAAATGTAAAAAAATGGTGAACGTTTTCATCTGTTACGATATATATATACTTCAGAATTGTATTATTTGTGAATTAGAAAGGTCATTGAATAAAGGTCATTGAATAATTTAAAGTGTTCAATCACGATCAGTAGAATAGTATTATAGCAAAAATGAAAATTTCACAGATTGAAATCATGAGTCAGTTGAAGCTCGACCACTATGAAAAACCTGGAAGCACTGAACGGCCGTTTCGTCCTAGTATGGAACCCCTCAGCAGTGCGTATCCACGATCCCGCACCACGCGGGGCTCAAACCCAGGACCTACTGGCTTCTCGCGCGAGCACTTAACCACTAGACCACTGAGCCGGCATCCAACGGTGTTAATGTCTAACTTCAACCAATCCACGAAGTTGCACCACCGTGCACTATTGTCTTCAGTGAGTTCCTATCTCACAACAGACCTGGTTGAACTCCACTGGTAACGGCTTCTCACTAGAACTTCGGGAGTTTTTCCTGAAGTCAGTCACTAGTGAGCAGTTGATTATTATCAGAATGGGTTTTGTGGAGATTTTTAGAAATTTCACAGATTGAAATCATGAGTCAGTTGAAATTTCTAAAAATCTCCACAAAACCCATTCTGATAAAAATGAAAATGCAAAATAAGATTGTTTAAATAAAATGCATAGTAGGAGAATTTCATCTATTCAATTGAGATAATAATAATAATAATAATAATCTAATGAATTCAACTCGGACGATCTCTTTAGCTTACTGAATCGCTAAATATTTTTGTGATAGTATATCATAAAACTAATTTTATTATATTAGAACTATCATTAAAAGCGGTCATAAAAGGAACCCCCTTTTTTAAAAAAAAGCTCTAACTACAGACACTACTTATCCGTTATTGATCGACAATTCATTTTTTTAAATATTACATTAATAACTGAAAATAATTAATTATATTAGCCCAGTCAGTCAGCTACAACGTAGAAACAGGCACATATATGCATCGGTCCAAGTTGGCATACCTCATTAACACAACAAGATGGACACCGGATTCATAAAAGTAGTTAATTCAGAGGTGGTAATATATAACAGAAAGATTGCATATGAGGACATAGTACAGGAAGAAAGAATTAATTGGTAGAAAGAAAGATATGAAGCGATTTTAAACTCTTAGTTCGAGGGAGGACAGAGAGTGTATACACCGACGCCATTGTGATCGATTCTGAGCCATGTCACCAAGAGTCCCCAACCATTGATTACGATAGTCACCCGGACCCCAACCCAGTAGTCTGCATCTACCAACATGGCTAAGACTAGAAGTTAGTGACTTTGTGAACTGATGCTACGTTTTGGTTTGGCCGCCCCTAACTTTCTTCCAACCACTCTCAACACCGGTTAGCATTACGCGTCGTGGTAATCGGTGTTCAGGGAACACGTGACACAACCATCTCAGTCGATGAAGATTCATAACCTCATCAACTGATTTTCCATCATTCCCTAATACCCGCTTTTTTTATATTAATCCATATGTAATTAAAAACAAAGAAACGTAACAAGACGAATGAATTAATCGTGTTCTGTAAGTATTGTCATTTTCATTTTATTTAAATTTGTATAGAGAACTAGTTGACTGAAATAACATTGGTAACAGAACTAAGATTATAAAACAGGGGATCAAAATAATCAAAAAACTAAAGACCTAATTAATAATGACATCAGAATTCTTCTTCATTCATTTAATTTTAAAATCTTTCTTGACCAATTAATCATTTCAGATCGGTTTGAATTTACGAATTACATAATCATAAATAAATTGAGACCTTAGTGACTAACTATTGTTAGAGTTCAGTATCAATAACAAAAACTTGACAATATTATTAGTGAAAGTAATACTAGTTTTTATGACTGTAAAATAGATTAGGTATTGAGTATATGATATTAAATTAAGACTACCGTGTAAGTAGTGTTGATGTTAATCGAAAAGCACTAGATAAGGATGATGGATTGTATAATAAGGTAGTGGATCATCATAGAATAAGATAGTCAGCATATGTATTACATATAATTAACAATAGCATACCTCAGTGAACGATACTTGGGGGTGTAGAAGAGGATCAGAAAAAAAACTATGGACATCCACATAATGATGTAGTAGAAATCTATAAAAACACTGACCACATGGTTGATATTCACATGATTAGAACAATGCATGTAAGTGAACAATATTGTTTTCAATAAAGATCGTCATCAGGCTTTACTCTAATATACATGAATATTTATTACAAAATTGCTAAACCAATCAAGGTAATTTAGGTCAATAATCACAATGAATTAGAATAGGTCACCACACTTAATAGGTAAAAGTACATGTTGATAGTAGGAAGACCGGCGTACTGATAGTAGTATGAATAATAAAATAAAATACGATAACAAAGGTCATATCAATAGTTACACATTGGAAATAGAAGGTCAAACGTGGATAAATAGACTTAGAATAATCATCACGAAACATTAAAACCATTACGTAATAAGAAGTGTGTAAATATATTAGATAGTGAAGAATCCAAACGGAAAGAGGCGAAAAATTACAAACAAATACAGGAATCAGAAGGGGTTTTGTGAAGATTTTAGAAATTTCACTGGTTGAAATCATAAGTCAATTGAAGCTAGACCACCATGGAAAACCTGGGAGCACTGGACGGTCGTTTCGTCCTAGTATGGGACTCCTCAGGAATATGAAAATAATGATAATGATAACGAAAATAAAATTGGAAAAAGTCGTTTCTTAAGTGATAACTGGCCACGGAAGGGATAGGGGGGCTGCGAATTTCTTCTGTACACATAAATCGGGGTTCGATGTACGAATTCCTATGGCTTCAGATATATGTAGGAGAACTCTATTGTGAAATGATGGAGGTATACGATAGATCACTCGAAATGATTCCGATTTATCTACAGTATGATCGATATCAATAAGATATACCAAGATAGAACTGTGTATTGTTTTCATGTGGTCCTTTATAAACCAAGCTGGTAGATATTCATTCATTCGTTGGTTAAATTATATATTAGCATAAAGCCTGATGACGATCTAATTGAAAATAATTGTTCGCTTACATGTGTTGTTCTAATTTTCACAATGGGAATCTTTAATATTCACACGATTACCATCACTATTGCAGATGCATTCACACTTTATGTTTCTTTAGATCTTCAAATTTTAAACTTACTTCATAAATATTCCTCAACAGATTAAAATTGTTCTTCTTTAATCACATTATCTATGCCTAGTTTTTCAACTAAGTCTAGAATTGTCAATAATTCTGATACCCTATCACTTTTCTTGATAATTTATTCACAATATTACACGTCACCTATGAATGATTGTCCGATACTTATATAGTTGAAAAGAAATGAATATACAGTAATTTATCTTTATATAATATTATAGCCCGAAGCCGTCAATCAGAAGTAGTGAATTATCGATCGGAACAATGACGTATAAACCCGTATGAGCAGTCTAGAGTTCTGATTGGTCCTGCTTTCCGCCTAACCCAGTCAGTTAAGTCCAGAACACCAGTCTCAGCCTCTGCAATATGAATCCTTATATTTCAAACGTACTGAGTTTCTATACCAATCAAACAGACAAAAACGTACCAATAAAATGTGAAACAACATCTGTGCAAGAATTAGCCAGATGTGGATGTGAATGAGGGAGGTAGTAATTAATATACTGGGTAAAACCCAAGAATAGTAAAACGT